TCTTTAGTTAAGAAAAGTTAGTTTAGGATGAACCAGTTTAACATATTTGGTTTCTCCATCTTGCACAACAGAACACACGTTTTCCAGCTCCATTTAGAAGAACATCAGTAATAAATAGATTCATTTGACATCTCTTTTATTTCCATGAAACACCTACTTGCAAGTGGGGTTGGGTGGGGGAGCGGAACAAAATCTGAAAGAAACCCTCTAAATCAGGCATCCTCTGATGAAGGCACTCTGGCTGATTTCTGGGTAAGAAAGCTGCCTATGAATAGTTAAGAAGAGCTAAAGCATGCCTGTCATGCATTGTTCTCTATTTTTATTTCAACTACAGTAATTATTTCTAAATTTGTATCTACTGTATGTATAAATTATCACATGCAAATTTCCTGTAAAACTGCCATTTATCTACTTTGGCTGATATCTGCTTTTTTATCCAACTTATCAAGCGGTAGTGAATTGCAGTGCTGGAGGCATACAGAAGCTTCTGCAGCCTTTGGCAGGTGCCAAGTGGTGTTCAACAAGTACAGCTGATTCCTCAGCCCTTGATGATCAAAAACAAAGCAAAGCAACATTTGAATCTCACCACGATATGTCATTTTAAAAGCAAGTTTGCTATAAAAAGGCTGTACAATTTTAATCCATCAGCCATCAAAGTTTTACACTTCTAGGGATATCCAATTTTATGCAAGTATACAAGTGGAGAACAAGTGTGATTTCTTGCAAAAGGAAAGAAAAATCATTGACTGAACCTGGAAATACAAGATTCTGACTGAAAATAAATTTACAGTTAAAGAAGCTGTTAATTATATCTCAGGTCTGACATTTCTTCTGTGACATTTTAAAACTCAAAGAGTCAAATTTTAAATCTCAAAGGTGTAAGACCCAAGATGCTACAAGAAAAATAAATGCCTGCAAGATCAAGTGCTTTTCTAAATTGGTATCAAGCTGATTTAGATAAAAGAAACCTTTAAAAGCCTTTTCTCTGATTAGCAAGTCAGCCATTACCAACAGCATGCTAAAAGAAGTTCTTACACCTGTTCATTTGTGCAGATGGCAAAAGGAATGGATGGATGGGTTGAATGACCCAGAAAGTAAATTTTAAGGTCACATTCCATGGCCTGGAAAATGAGTGATTTAGGCAGATCATAACATCCAGGTTAGTATAGTGTTCAAGACACAATACATCAAATAATAGAAGTCCATAACCCTAGGAAGGAAGCAAACTGCTTCCAAAAGTCTTGCTAAGAAAATTGCTAGGACTAGCCCAGGCAATTGCCAGGAGACCAACCAACTAACCCAGAACATAGTAGGCATGCAGTCAAATAAATCATCACAGCAGGAATCTCTAGGAGACAATGTGCTATAAAAACATGGATATATATGAAAAAGAGTTCTTTTCATATATATATCAGGAATCATTGCTTTGAAAGGTTCAGAAACTTGGGAGCTATTGCTCAACAGATTTGAAGGCTTACTATGTTGGACAAGGCTTATCTGGGAAATGGTTCTAACCTGAAGTTTCTGCTGATGAAAACAATGGCCTTCTGGTATGCATAACCTCTGTCCTTTCCCATTAGCTCCATCTATGGAAGTGCCATTAAAAACAACAAAGTAAAACAAAAATCAAACTAGATATTGAAAACAAAAAATATGGTAGGCGGTGTATGTGCACAGACTCACATCAAGAACAGCATTCCTCTGTACATTTTTTATATTTACATTCTAGTGGGATTCATCAGAAACAATAATTTTACAAAACAATAATAAAAAAATGAAAAAACTGTTCATACAAAACAAACCTCTTTAGAGATATATTGACAAAATTCTGCAACAGGTTGAGTGAGTTGGAAGGGGAAATAAATGATAGCGAACGTGATGGGATCTGACCTGCAGTCTTTCCAAAACTATTCTGCCATCCATGCAGAATATGGCATGCATTTTTTAAGGATTAGGTCCATTAAGGAAAAACAACACCTTCTTGCATATTGTAAAATATTCTCAATAAATACGCAGTTCACAAACTGCATTTCAGTATGAACGGCAATGCTAAAAAGACTCGTGTATAAAAGTAGAGAAGAGCAAATACATCAATTTCAATTTTTTCTCAGTCTCTTAATTTTTATGAAACTGTGAAGTTAATTCTTTTCAGATCCTAATTTTTGCAAATATATATATGGTTTGGTTTGTTGCACTGAAGTTTTTTTTTTGAGGACTACTAACTTGATATATATTCTGGGACAGATTTCTATGTCCATATGCTCTTTTATTTGCAATTCTATCTATTATGCAGCACTTTTACAAATACATCCCCTAACCTAATGGAGATTTATTTCATTTATTTGTTTATTTGTATCCCACCTTTATTATTTTCACAAGTAAGGCAGCAAACATCCACCATCTCCTTTTTTCCCCACAACAACCCTGTGAGGTGAGTTGGACTCGCCCAGTCACCCAGCTGGCTTTCATGGCTAAGGAGAGATTAGAATTCATGATCTCCTGGTTTCTAGCCTGCTTCCCTTAACCATTAGATCAAACCTGCTCTGTAATTTTTGTTCACAATTTCATGAAAAAATGCATTTTACACAACTATGAACTACAAACTTCAGAAAAGTGTATTTTAATCATTAGCTAAATTTCAGTTTGGTTAAAATGCAAACCAAATGAATTCATTCCTGGCCCTAATCATGAGTATGGCTTGATACCTTTAAGAAGAGAAAGAAGAAAATCTGAACTTGTGCAACGTATTTAGAAATCTAAGTCCAACCCTTAGTTATGAAAAACATTTATAAAGTAACTATCTTCAAATATATAAAAAGCTATTGGGCATAGTATTCTCTGTTACTCCTGAAAGAAGTATGAGAACCAACTGAACATTAAGAGATGCTTTGAAAGCATGGTGTGAACATGAAACAGACTGATGCAACAGTTGATGGGTTCTCCTCTGCTAAATATATCTTGGGGTATTTACATCTTTTACAGGTAGTCCACAACATACAACTGTAATTGAGCCCAGAATTATAGCCATGAGTTGTGGTAGTTGTTAAGTCGGTCATCATGGGACCATGCCCAATTTTAGGAGGGGTTTTTTTGCAGTGGTTGTTAAATGAACCCATTTTTCTCAATGTGAATTTTTTGCTGGAAACCAAAAGTAAATGCCGTAAACTGACAAAAAATACTGAAAATTGTAGTCATGTGCCCACAGGGCATTGCATATGGCGGTAAATGCAGGTTGGTTGCCAAACAGCCCAAAATCCGATCACATGGCTATGGTGTGTGTGCATGTGTGCGGTCAGCAGAACTTCAGAACCAGGACCTCTAATAAGGTCAATCATAACTTTGAATGGTCACTAAACAACTGGTCATTAAGCGAGGACCACCTGTATTTACATGCTCCAATATACGGCATATTCAGAGGATTAGACTCTACATAATTCCAAACTTGCCTTCCAGTTTTATACTTCTATTGTTTTATAAGCATACAATTTCCCTAAAATAAAAGCAAAAAATAAAACTTCTTGCTAAACTCACACTGATTTTCTGTTGCCAGGAACCTTCAGAGGTAACTTGAATGGAAGAATAACATTTGTTTAGAAAAGGTTGGGTAAAAATTGGTAGTAGCCATTGGTGGGAATGACATAGAAATGCCACATTTATGACTCTCTGCATGATGCACTACAAAAGTGAACGTCCATTCAGCAAGGATAAAAAACCAAAGCGAGAGAGAAAGCAAGAGACAGAAAAAGAGATAGGAAAAATATTTCAGGAACTGGAAGACTGCAATATCATTGAATAAGTCTGACTCTCCCAAGCTGATGCACTCCAAATGGCCTTTAGTTCTACTCTGTATGGTTAAATGTCTGACTTAACAGGAGTTCTAGTCTAAAAATAACAGAAAACATCTCATTGGAAGACCTGAGCAGCTGGTATAGCAAGGAAAGAATAATCTTAGTTGTGATAATAAGGAGTTTTAACTTTCTAATGTGGCTCCTGGATAAGCTTTGAACAAAAGGTATCAAAAACCCTGAAGAATCAACAGCTGGTGAGAGAACTTTGCTCTTTGGCCAGGAACTCTGCCAACTTCTTATCCAAACACAGAATAGAGTGGCAGTAAACACATCCACACAGATAGGAAAAATATATTATTACATATTATAAACAAATATATACAGAGGTTAAAATGGATGGTGTTTTACTTACAAAGTACATGCCATCTGAGAGTCTTAAAAGCCCTCAGTTGACCTGCAAAGGGAGGGATATGGTTGAGCTACGTGATACTCAGCACTAGAGGTTTGGTATACAGTAGGTGTGCAAAGATCACCAGGCACTTTGCTCATTGTTAACACTTATCAGATTTTCTAGCAATTCATTTTAGAGGGTGAAATTTTAGTGATTAAGTCCCAGTAGAACTATGATTCTTCAACTTATTATTTTTCTTGTATTAACTATGTTTGTTGTTTTTATTTAAAGTCTCTGTCTCCTTCGCAACATCGTGAAGTATAGGATCCACTGATTATTTACATATTGCAGAGTGAGGAGCAATAAATAAGGAACTTTATGAAGAAATGTTCTTTTGAACAGACTTGTCAGTAATTGCCCTATTGGTTTCCAGTGGCAAAAAAATGAAATGTGGTTGTTTACAACTTAGTTTTGTAACAACCTTTCTTCTCCGTATCAATGAAATCGGGGGTTTTATTATTACTTCTTCCTGGTAAAATGTTTTCACTTCACAAGGTCTGTGCTGGCCTAGACTAGATTTCCGTCAACGTGACCTTGAAACCCTCCATTATGTTCTCCATGTTTAGGATGAAAGTGTCTTCATTGGAATAATGTTCAATGATGTTATCATCCATATTTACCAGAATCCTGAAATAGGAAAGGGATACATTAAGAAAGTTTAGATCAGTGATGGCGAACCTTTTAGAGACCGAGTGCCCCAAAAATGCCATGCCCCTGCCCTGCCCCCGCCTCTCCTGCCCGCAGGGCCACCCACTGCCTCCACGGCCTGCCACAGATCACCCAGGCGGCCCAGCAGCATCATGGTGGCCGTGCCCTCTGTCTGCACCCCCCAGCATCATCTGCACACGATGGGACGCGAGGGCAGAGTCTTGTCCTCGCTGCCCGGCTGCCATGTCCTTGGCTGTGTTGCTCTGCACAGGCTGCACCCGGGGCGACTCTCCTCTGGGGAAGCTGCTGGTAAGGAGGGGGCCACAGGGGGTGGTGGGGCTGGGGCGATGGTGTGCATGCCCACAGAGAGGGCTCTGAGTGCCACCTCTGGCACGCGTGCCATAGGTTCGCCACCACTAGTTTAGATAATGGCTAAATACACAAATTCATAATACAATTTCTTTCATTTTGATTTAGTCCCAAAGGTGCTTTTTCAAAAGGCAACTTAGTCTTCAAGGAAAAACAAAGTCCAGTAGACTTTTGAAAAAGCACCTTTGGGGCAACCATGATCTGGATGATTGAGAATCTCCATAGACATTTTGATTTAGCTTATTGTATGAACTTGGCCAATGCAATTAGTATGCTGTCTGAACTCAGCCAATTCTAGATTATTCAATAAATCATGGTTATAAAACAGTAGTTTTATGGATGTAGAAATCTAGTCATTTAAGAGATAGATTTAAATTGTTGGTTCAATGTGTGCAAGGAGGATCTTATTTTATGTTAACCATTTGTACGAGGGCCTTGACAAAATTCACAATGGCGCAGTGGTTAGAATGCAGTACTGCAGGCTATTTCTGCTGACTGCCAACTGCCAGCAGTTCAGCAGTTCGATTCCCACTGGCTCAAGGTTGACTCAGCCTTCCATCCTGCAGAGGTCAGTAAAATGGGGAGCCAGATGGTTGGGGGCAATAAAATGGAGACTCTGTAAACCGCTTAGAGAGGACTGTAAAACACTATGAAGCGGTATATAAGTATAAGTGCTATTGCTATTTTCCAACTTGAAAGTCCAACTCCAAGTTGCCCCATAAAATATTTTGTGATTCTTTGTCCTGAGTCAACATGAATATTCTTCTACTGTTAATGATTCAAATTCATATTAATTCTCCAGTTAGGCCCATGCTACGGGAATCCCACTTAATTCTCCTATACAGCTTTTTATGTTACTTTGTTGTTGTTTTTTTAAAAAAAATATTTTTACAATATAATCCCTGTGCACCACAGCAGGAAGCAGGAAGCATAAATTCCAGATGCTGCTGGATTACAACTTTAATATACCGTATATACTCGAGTATAGGTCGACCCGACTATAAGCCGAGGGACCTATTTTGCCACAAAGAACTGGGAAAAAATGGTGACTCGCGTATAAGCCGAGGGGGCATTTTTCAGCAAACACATTTTTCCGCCTGGGCTAATTGGCCTCTTTGCAACCCCACCCCTCTGCGCGCGATTGTAGCACTTTGCACAAAGGAGCAATAGTTGATAACATGCCCGTCAGCTGGAAGGGTATTCTCGGATAGTGAGAAGCTGGAACCGGGCGGGCGGGCGAGAGAGGCGGGCATAAAAAAAAGAAACGGGGGGGGGGGGAATCCACACACGCTCGCGCAGGGAAAGGGGGAAACGGGTGGGCTGGCCGGCTTCCCTCTCCTCTTTGTGTGTGTGTGTGTTTGTCTCTCTCTCTCTCTCTCTCAATTCTCCCCCACCCCAAAAGCGGGGAGGGGGCGACCTTGCAAAAGGGAGGGGGCTTCTCCCGGTTGCGGGGAAGGCTGGAGGTGCGCCTTTCTCGGCCAGCCCAGGTAAATTCGGCGGTATTCTTCAATACGGGCCGGCCCCAGCAGTTCCGGCTGGTTGCCGGCAGTTGGCTGTTCCTCCCTGGCCGCCTCGGCCCCCTCGGTTTGTCGGTGAGCGCCCGGCAGAGCGCAGCGTCGCCAGGCCTCCCCCCTTCGCGCGAGGTGTCTGGCGTTCCCCCTCGCGCTTGGCTGCGGCGGCCCGGGCTATTCCGTCCTGGCCTCGACACGCAGCGCCGCAGGGAACGGAAGGGGGGAGGGCCGTACCTGGAGCATCACATGAAGAATTGGCTG